AAGGGTTAGATAAGTTTTGATGCAAATTCAATCACACTTTTCTCGTGCATCAACTTCACATGATTTCCCTCCAAACTTCATCATTTCACACGCTTGAACATTCCATTTGATTCCCTATAAATAGAGGGTCACCCCCCCATTAATTTACTCAAGCTTTGAGAGCCAAATACACTCTGTCAAAACCTCACACGGACTTCAAATTTTTTAAATTAGTTTATGGGATTCAAGCCTTTTCTTCCAAAATTCTTTGCACATTCATCTTCCTTAAACATCATACAAACTCTCCAGCACTTAAACCAAGCAAAATGAGTTATAATTAAAGCTACAGAAGTCCAGTTTCAGAGTTTCTTTCTTGAACTTCGAAAAGGTAGAATTCTCCACCATTTGGATCTAAATAAAGCACTAACTTGTTATACTCTTTCTCTTGATTCCGGTGCTTCTTACAATTTTTAAATCCATTGAGAATTGAGAGAGAAATCTCAAATCGAAGGTGCTCGCTATTTTTTGGGTTTTTGATTCATATCTCTTTGCATACCTTATATAAATTTGGCGTGATGGTAGTGTTAGGATTGTCTTGAAGAGACGAATCCAATGATACTGGTCTGGGATCCTAATTTTTCCATTTGAAAGATCTCACAAAATCTCTATTGCAGGGTGGCTGGAGGTTGAAGACGATGACATGTCTCGTCTCAGCCAATGATAGCGTTCCAAACATTTTAATTTAATTGGTTACCCTTTTTTTGATCATATGCGTATCTTACTAAGGTCCATATCAAGCACAACGCATCTGGTCCATTGGATTAGCTTACTAACGCGTTTTAACTATGATCTGATGACCCACATCTTTTTGGTTTTATTTTATTTTCTGATTTTATATTCTAATTGATTTAATTTTCAAAAATTCATAACTCTTTTATTTTTTATCCAAAAATTATAAAAAAATTCACAAAAATACATTAAATTATTTCTGATCTCAAGACTATTTTTTCATATTTTTATTTTGAAATTTGATATTTTTTATATTATTTGCATTGTTTACTTTGTTTTAACTATTTTAAAAATACTTTCTGACATTTTTTAATTCTTAAATTTTTCATAAATATCATTTTGCATATTTCTGACCTTTTTGAAAATTTTATGGAATTTTATATTGGTGTTTACTATTTTTGATCTATTTTCTATTTGTATGAACAATTTTAATTAGTTTTAAAATAGTTTCTGACTTTTAAAAATTTCCAAAATTTTTTTAAAAATATTTGAGTCCTTTTCGGATTTTTCTATGGTCTTACTTAATTTTTCTTGATTAATTTGATTATAGTTGATATTTTTCTTTCTTATTTCCATTTTAAAACATTTTTAAAATCTTTTTTTAATGTATATATTAAATGCAATATTATTTTGTGATTATTTTCTGGCTGAACTTGGGTTGAATTTTGATCATGAACTTTATTAACATCATTGGATCCATGGTGTTGACTCTAACTCCACAAAGATGAATGAATGATTTTAATAATAGTTTGATTTAAATTTAATTCAAATGTGGTTTGTATATTCTTTCCCACCCCTCTCCGTCTTGTCCCTTTCTTATTGCACTAAGTGTTATTAGAGCATGATCTCTATATCATGTCTCAAAACAAATGGTGTATAGATTACTATTGACCGGCCTCAAAATATGTGCGACTTTTATATAAGTCCACTTACGATTTCTTAACATAGCGCTAAATTTTGTCCCGATTCGAATAAATGATCATTCGTGGCCCAAACCTATGTTTTCAAGCCCAAGCATGTAATTTGATCTCTTTGATCCAATAACCTTGAGATTTATTGTGTGGAGGTTTTGGTTCTACCAATCCTCTAATGGATCTACAACACTTTTGGTCAACACGGATCACTTAAACATCGTTGATCATTAAATGGTACTTTTGAGGATTCCAAATGGATGATATACTTGACAAAAAGCAAATGCAACTTGTTGTGTGGAGGCTTTGGTTCTACCAATCCTCTAATGAGTTTCAAATGCAAGTTTCAAGATGGTCATCCAACTAACCACTAATTATTAAATTGTTTTTACTTTATGTTTTTATTTTTATGCTTTATGTACCATTTACTTTAAGCATTACATTTCATGTCATTTTTATTTTTGCTCACTTGAGCATTTATATTCTTGTTATTTTTATTTTTCTCACTTGAGCTTTTCTTTTCTCTTTTAAACACCTAATAATTAACATGAACCATAAAATGCTTTAATGATACTTGGACTATTTTGCTACTATTCTTGGCATTATGGAGTATTGGACTTCTTGGACTTAGGATTAGAAACCTTGACCTATGTTGGAGACCTTGTGACTTTAATTGATATTTTGTCTAGATTTCTTGAGGTTTACCTCAAGACATTGGGTTGTTTGTTTGTTTTGTGTGCAGGTTATTGTGATTATATTCTTTATTTGTAATCTGGAATTCACCCGTATACAGTCGTTACTCTGTCCAATTTTTGTGAAGACTTAATACACATGAAGTTTGGTCTTCTCAAGAGGTCTAATATCTTTGCTTGTTTAGTTTCAATCCAAATAGTGTGAATTCTATCTTGACTCATAATGTCAAGTGTTGGCTTCTTTTTGGTTAGATAGTTCTTCTCCTTATCTTTTATCTTACGCTTTAGGATAGTCCCTTCATCTCCTCCCATCTTCTTCAATTTCAAAAATCTTCTTCCTCCTTTTGAAAACTCTTCTTATTTTGAAACTTGAACCATTCTCATAATAAACTTGGACTTATGTCCATGCATTTTCAAAATATTTTTACAAATAAACTTCAATCAACTTAATAATACCTTGACATTTTTTTTTGTGAGAAGACTAAAAATCAATCAATCTCATTTCAAACCATTTTGCCACTTCGGCTTTTATTTAAAAAAACTTTTTTCTCAAAAGATTGGACTCTTATCAATCCTTATAGTGATGCAAACAACTATACTTCTATAATATGTAGTGAAGAGAGATATTTTCTACTTGGGTGTTGAGTGAGGCATTGTTGATTTTAAAATCCAAGTCATATCCTCCACTTTGAGATGATGCAAATTCTCCTTTCTCATGATTGTGGGTAGTAAGTATGTTTTCCACACGGACAATAACAATGATGTCTTATCTCATAAAATTAATCAACACACTTGTGTTTTACAATTTTTAAAAGAGGAACTACGTGTACCATGATCCCCTATTGAACGAAAGGTGATACGTAGGCACTAAAAGTTCGCAACCGCGGCGGGTGCAAAAATAATAAAAAATATATATCTTTCCTTACCTCCACCATTTATTTTATATACAACATTTTATAACCAAAATATACAAATTTTACAAAGAGGTTCCTGCAGAGTACCGTAGATGTTTAGGGTGCTAATACATTCCCTTTGCATAAACAACCCCGCTTACCTAGAATCTTTCCCCCTCTTTTGGGTTATTCTTTTTTTTCCCATTCCTTTGGAAACAATAAAGTGCGGTGACGATTTTTATTTTGATCTGTATAAGTCTAGTCAGTCCAATGGCATAGTCTTAAAACATTTCTACCGCTACAGTCACCAGAGAATTTTGTGAACTTAGGGACTTTCCAACCCCTGGGTAACTTAGCCTGTAGAACATATCCAGACAAAGAAAATGTGTAATTTGATCTTCGAAGGCCTATATTTACCCCATTTTGAGCCATTATTCTTTCAACCATGGCTTCTAGATTATTTTCCCCTGGGTATTCATCTTGCCGAACATGTTGAAGGACTTTGTCTGTGTTCTGGTTTTGATTGAGCATTACTACCCTTGGGGCTTGAACCTCCCTTGGTATGGCTTATTCGACCCTGGGTTGTTTGATTCTTGGCCCATGATTGACTTCACCAACATTTTGCGTAATTGGTTGCGCTTGGTTAACTGTTTGATTTTCTTCGAAAACCACTCACTGGTTTTCTCTTATCCATTTTGGACGGGGATGTTGAACTGGGGCTCGAAGGGCAGCAAAGAAATATGCAATTCGTGCCATATGTGCTTCCAATTGTTGATTCGTCTGTGCATTCTGTTGATTTGTTTGGGTATCACTTTGAATGAAAGGGTTAAAAATGGCACCCATTTGTTGGGCTAAAACACCAACCATTGTATGGTTACTGTCATTGATTTGTTGTCTAAATGCTACTGCAGAATTTGTTGTCATGGTAGGTAATTGAGTAGCTTGGGGGTGGGACTATTCTACCCATATTATTGACACATGATCCTGATCCTTGCAATGGTGAAAAAGTAAACACCCTTGGATCAAACAATGTCAAAGTACTATTGTTTAAACTTGTCATTACTGATGTTAGCTTACCATAAATTTGTTCACAGCCATCCAAAGACATTGTGAATCCAAACGCAAAATGTCTAAAATTATTCACCCTTGGTTGCCATGAGGTCACTTGGGGGGTTAACCATATTCTTATTGTATTTCCTTTTTTACCAGTAAATTGGATCAGGAACAAGAACTGAATTTCAATAAAATGGGTATCTAATGTTATTGGTTTTTCTTTAAATGGAATGGATTCGTTAATAACCAAATAGTTTAGATTTTTTATATTTGAAAACCAATTTTATGATTATGGATTAGATGAACCGGTTAAAATGCACACCCCTATTAAAGAGTGAAGTTTTAAGTTCTACGGATTTTATCTCTTTTTTGTTTTGTTTCATCTTTGTTTTTAATGTGTTCAACTAAGCACATTTTGTGCTATAAGAATACTCATTACATATACTCTACGGAGTATTCTATTCCCCATCTATTTTTAATACATTACTTTGCTTTTTAAAAAACAATATTCTTAGCAATAAAAAGATAAGAAATAATATTCTATATAGTTTCACTTCAACAAGCAAACAAAGGCATCATATTCCTTTCCTAACATCTACTATATATAATAAGATTTTGGTTGCAACATTATGACCATCCCAATACAAAAATTCTAATAGCAATTTTCAAGTAAGTTTATAAGAATGTCATCTCGTGTGCTCAAGAAACTCATCGCCATGCTTGAGGCTGAAGAAGCCGAAGCATCGAAATCCGAAAACCATGGTACTTCTAACGCATTTAACAACCATGGTGACGGGGATCAAAATTTCTCCAATGCTAAAATCAACAGCGGTTCAAATTCTGGGGACCGAAAGAAAAAAATCACCACCAACAATCATGGTGAGCGCACCGTAAATAACAGTGGTACTTTCCATGGTAATGGCAATGGAGGGTATACTGAGGGTAACTTTGACGCATCCACAAGGAACTATAAAATTTAGGTATAAAATATTTGTGATCATAAATATGGTATATGCAAGTAATAATGAAGTTGAAGATATATATGTTTTCGATGGTTTATGGTTGTATGTTGCTGTATAGGAGATTAAAAATAAACACACTAGTGTGCTATGATAAATCTCCTTATGTTTGATTATATATAGTTATTATAAATAAACGATAATTTATCTTTATATTTATTTCATTTTGTTTTTATGTTATGAGGCTAAAATGGTTCCTAAAGTTATCTTAATATATATATATATATATATATATATATATATATATATATATATATATATATTTTATTTGGATTGAAAAATATATTTGATAATAGTGGGAGAACACATTCACCTATTACTTAAGATTTTAGACGAATATATATATATATATATATATATATATATATATATATATATATATATATATATATATATATATATATATATATATATATATATATATATATATATATATATATATATATATATATATATATATATTTCATTTGGATTGAAAAATATATTTGATAATAGTGGGAGAACACATTCACCTATTACTTAAGATTTTAGACGAATAAGTAATGTGTTTCTCATAAAAGTGTATAATCTTCAACTTTCTATCATATTTTTAGTAATTTCTTCAAACAAATTTAATCAGTATCATATAAGAGTGTTTACGTTTCGATTTAGATCAATTTTGAGATAAAAATTTATTCATTTAAATATAAAAATACTTTAAAATAATTAATAAATGAATATAATATACACGCATAAAAGAAGAGGGATCAGAGGTAGCAATACAAAGTTCACAAGGATCATGAGAAAATAAAAATAGCATCACATGTCTTTTAGAGTTGGATTTTAGTTGTCTATTGGCTGCAACACTCATCACAATTGGACTTGATGCCATTCGTCCCTCACCCACTCATAAAACATGTGGAGTGACCCGTCTTAATGCACTAACTATGTGAAATATCATTTAAAGAGAGAAACAAAGTTCTATAGAATAATAGGGGAAATAACAAATTCCACCTTCAACTTTCTAGAAGGAATGGGAGAATAACTGCTCTTTGGTCCAAGGATTCAGACCCAAGGAATCTCTAAAAATACCTTAACTTAAGGATTTAAGTTTAGATTGGAAAAATAATTTATTGTTACAAGACAAGAGATTATATAGGTAAGGAACATCAATCTTGAACTAAGATTTTTTTCTAAGCTTGCATTTCATCCTAGAGATTGTTTTCACAATTCTGAGTTTCACTTTTTTCAATCTTAATATTTTCATTGTAAATGTTTATCATTCATAACGTAGCATTCAATATATATATATATATATATATATATATATATATATATATATATATATATATATATATATATATATCACTACAAGAAAATGCATACCCAACCACGTGAAGTTGTCACGTGATTTTTATGTGGCTAAATAAAACCAGTTGCGACGTGAAAATCACGTGGCAACGTATTTTAATAATATAAAACAGAAGCATTAAGTGTGTCAGTTACTTTTTCGTTTTAAAAAAAGTAGCGACGTGGGATTCACGTCGCTAATTAAAATGTCACAAAAATTAATTAAATCACAACTTTCAACACTGGCGTGTTCAGGTTTTGAAGGAAGAGAAAACAGTTGTAATTTTGTTGCGACGTGAAAATCACGTGGCAACGTTGCGGCGTGATTTTCACGTCGCTACTTGGTTTATGCAATTTATCAAAACGTTCCACAACGTTTCTGTTTGCCATTTCTTCATCTTCAACCTTCACTTCCTCTCCATACCCATTTTTTCTTCACCAAAAAATTCTCTTCTCCACACTAAAATTCCTACCATCTTCATACATTTTGTAAGGTAATTTTAATTTCATGTTTTATATACTTTGTTAATAGCTTTTGATGTGTTATTTGAGTATAATTTTTTTTCAATTTTTCTTTGAATAGAGAAGGAGAATATAGAAGTGTAGATTGCAAAAAGGGACAAGAAGATTGAAGGAGTTACAAGATAAAAGGTATGTCTTGAATTTTTTTTCTTCTGAATTTGATTAAATTGCATTGGGTTAAAATTGTTGAATTTGGGTTATATATATATTTTCTGTATTTGAGTTAAATGTTAGGTTTAATTATTTAGTTTATAATAATTGTTAATTATTATTTTGTGATGAATGAGTTTAATTATTTTAGGAGTTTAAGTTTTTTTATTTTTAGGAGTTTATAAATTTTTAGTGTTTAAATTAAATTTTTAGGAGTTTAATAAGTTTTTAAATTTTTAGGAGTTTATAAAATTTAGGTGTTTCAATTAAATTTTAAGTGTTTAAAAATATTTTTAGGAGTTTATAAATTTTTAGTGTTTAAATTAAATTTTTAGGAGTTTAATAAGTTTTGAAATTTTTAGGAGTTTATAAAATTTAGGTGTTTAAATTAAATTTTAAGTGTTTAAAAATATTTTTAGGAGTTTATAAATATTGTTGAAAGCATATATTTATCTTTAATTGTATATGTTTAGGATTATTATTAAGTTGATTAATTAATATTTCTAATTAAATAGGTTTTGATTATATAAATTTGCAGTAAATGGAATATTATATGTATTATCGTAGTTGGATGTACGATAGAATATATCCAGGAAGACGCACATTTAAACCCAATTTTATAGACGGAGTTAATGGTTTTATCACGTGGACGTTTGCCCAGGAACGTTGTCGAAGTGAAGGAGGAGTTAGGTGTCCTTGTCTTAAATGTGGATGTAGATATATAATTAGTGACCCAGAGGAAATAACACGTCATTTACATATGAAAGGTTTCATTGAAAATTATTGGGTTTGGACGCATCATGGTGAAACACTGCCGAGTAATGTACCAGAGACTAGCAACACAAATGCTTCAAGTAGTCAACCGGTTATGCAACCACCTATGGAATTTGAAGAAAACTTTAATCTGATAGGTGACATGGTTGGTGATGCTTTTGGTGTTAACGTGACCTATGATCAACCTGAAGACTTTGACGGGGAAGAGTTGTCGAATGAGGAAGCGCAGAGATTTTATCAGTTGTTGAATGAGATGAATACGCAGTTGTTTGAGGGATCGTCAGACTCAAAGCTATCAATGTGTGTTAGATTATTGGCCGCCAAGTCAAATTGGAATGTTCCTGATCAGTGTTTGGAGCACTTCGCAAAAATGATGTTGGACTCAACTGCAACGAAAGACAACTTGCCTGCGAGTTTCTATGATGCAAAGAAGTTGGTGTCGAAGTTGGGTTTAAGAGTAAGAAAGATTGATTATTGCATTAATGGTTGTATGTTGTTTTATGACAACGAGTTTGGTACTCAAGATGGATCGTCAGAGGAATGTAAGTTTTGTCATAGTCCAAGATATAAAGTTCGCAATAGAGCCATTAACAGTAACCAAAAACGGGTAGCAGTAAAGTCTATGTTTTATCTTCCGATAATATCAAGGTTAAAAATAATGTTTTCTTCAATGCACAGTGCAAGTCAAATGACATGGCATCATACAAACAAAACAAGCCCAGGCAATATGCGACACCCATCTGACGGCCATGCATGGAAGCACTTTGATGAGGTACATCCTGATTTTGCCGCCGAACCTAGAAATGTTAGGCTTGGATTATGCTCTGATGGTTTTGCTCCATATGTCCAAGCGTCCGGAAGTGCGTATTCTTGTTGGCCAGTTATTGTAACCCCTTACAATCTCCCTCCTGAGATGTGCATGACAAAACCATACATGTTTTTGACGTGCGTCATTCCAGGACCGTCGAGTCCAAAGACCGGAATTGATGTGTACTTACAACCTTTAATTGATGATTTGAAGAGGTTGTGGAATAATGGAGAATGGACTTATGATATATCCCGTAAACAAAACTTTTCTATGCGAGCTGCCTTAATGTGGACCATTAACGACTTTCCAGCATATGGCATGTTGTCTGGTTGGGGTACGCATGGCATAATGGGTTGTCCGCATTGCATGGAATGCACTAAGGCGTTTACATTGGAAAAAGGGGGAAAAGCTCGTGGTTTGACTGTCATCGCAGATTCCTACCATCAAATCATCCCTTTAGAAAAAACAAGACAAATTTCAAAAAGGACGAACGGGTAACAGATCTGCCTCCGCCTCGACTGGCACTTTTTTCCTCACATATAATCAAAAACTGTGTCACTTTTTTCCTCACATATTTATGAACATCGAGGTAATATGTTATTTCTTTTTAAAATAATAAATAAATAAATAAAATAACTTTTTCTCTCCGTTTCCAATCCATCCGAGCGAATAGATTACTCATATTGCAATGACAAAAGAAAAACAGTAAATTATAAGGTATATCACTTACAAATTTTTACCATCCACCATTTTCTTTTTGGGTTGCAATATTTCCAAGTATGATTATGAATAGGTTTTTTCAAAATTATCAACCAAGAAAAGAATAAAATTATTGAACTTTTGCCTTTGATTACAACATTGAGAAAGTTTTCTAAATATAAAAATGGATTGCAAAAGATTGAATCAACAACAACAACAAGTCATTCCTTGAGATAGATTCAAAGAGCAAAAAAAGGTTTTGTTCAAGGTTGATAAATAACATGCAACAACAACAACACCTACAACAACAACAATAACAACAACAACTACAACAACAACAATAACGACACCAACGACAACAACAACAAAAACAATAACAACAACCACAACAATAACAACAACTACTACAACAATAACAACAACAATAAAAACAACGACACACAACCTCGAAAGATTTCTTAACTAATTAAGAAACCTTGAATATTTTTCTATCTTGCAACACATCTCAGAGCGTGATGTTTGCATGTTTAAGCGGTAGGAGATGAGTTAAGTTAAGGCAAAACTTAATGACCAAATCCTTTTAGAGAAAAAATTAAGTTCGATTGGCAGGTTAACCGAAGGAATAAACGATTTATTATTTAAATAAAATGTAAAATAAAAAAGATTGACGTCATTAGAA